ACCTATATTACCGATGGGCTCAAACAGAGAATCATTTATCTCTTCACATCTCCCATTAAGTGGTGGCCCGGCAGGAGAAAATAATCTGAGGAATACGTTGCGTCATACCTTGAATGTTCACAGTTAAAGTCCTCGAACCAACCACCCTCCGGGTTTCTGCAGCCACCTCCTGTCCCTTCCCGCCCATGGTCACACCTTGCCCTAGACTTTGTTTCCGACCTCCCGTCTTCCCAGGGAAATACGGTAATACTCACCATAGTAGATCGATTTTCCAAGATGTGACAGCTGATCCCCCTCCCTAAATTTCTGACAGTGAGCAAGTTAGCGGAACTGCTCATGGACAGGGTGTTCAGGTATTACAGCTTGCCAGAGGATATCGTGTTGGACCGCGACCCTTAATTTATCTCCTGAGTATTCAGAGCCTTCTGTAATAAATCAAACATTTCTGTACACTTTTCCTCCAGCTATCATCTGCAACTCCTTTCCAGTGTGTTTTAGGTTATCAGCTCCACCCAGTGATGTGCCCATTGTCAAAAAGTGGTTTCATGGGGCAGAAGCATATAGACCTGAGCCCAACGCCAACTGGAAGCCTAGGCCACGGTATATGCCCTCTGTTGAAGCCACACCGTCCGTGCCTCTCTTGACTCCAGATGATGATGGAGTACGCTTCAGTACCTGATAGACTGGGAGGGTTTCGGCCCCGAGGAGCGGCCGTGAGTTTTGGTGAGGGACATCCTTGATCCGTCCCTGATTTCCAATTTCCATCATGATTACCCTTTGAAGCCTGCTTCCTGACCTCGGGGGCGTCACAGACATTCCTCCCAGCCTCCAGGAGGTGGCCTTCAGAGGGGGCCTGTCATGTCCAGCGGGGCGGGGCACCTGGATCACATCACTGCCTCCCGCTGATAAAACTCTGACGTGTTTCCACAATCAGTGCGAAGTATTGTAGCTTCAATGTGCCGTGCTGACCATTTCATTAAACCTATCTATCATTCTTCCTTGTTTGCCTTGCCTGTCCTGCCTGCCCTACTTGCCCTGCCTGTCTGACCTGCCATAACCATCCTGCCTGATCCTGCCCTGCTCTCCCGCCTGTTCTGCACTCTGCTCCTCCTCCTTGTCTCCTGTATACCTGTAGGGCTGACTTCCCTGGATTACAGACCCCCCGGCACCATGATCCTGAATATGTCATTCGCTTTTTGATTTTGTCTCTGGTTGCCCGATTTCCTTAATAAAACACTCCTTCTCCAGCATTCATGTCCTCTGTCTTCCCTGTGTTCCAGGTATGACAGTTACTTTGTGTGGACATGTGGCAAATCTAACAGAATAAGACTGAGTTGGAATGGAGGATATATTATGTATTATCAGAAAGATATGGGCTCAGCGGTATATAAAGCACATGTATTTGTTATGTGTTTGTGCCATAAGTTTTTGTTACGTGCTGTAAGTTTTTGTTGTGTGCCATAAGGTTTAGAAGTGTTACGTGCTGTAAATTTTAACAGTGTTATGTACCGGAAGGTTTTGGGGGGCAGACGTTTCTTTTCAGTTTTGCTGATCATCACTCAACCCACCCTGAGTTTCAATGGCTATGCCCGAGGCTCTGCCCCGGCTCTCCTGATTGGACGTTGTCATTTTCGGCCTCCAATATGAAAAGGACCTGCGAAGCAAGAATACGACTCTCTCTCTCAACCTTTGTGCTTTGCAGTTGTTCTGATTTTGCTTATTCGTATATGATTTTGGTTTGTTCCTGCCTGTTTTTTTGCTCCTTGCTTTGCCCTTTGTACTGTCACTAGTTCGTTACACATGCTTTCCTAATTATCGACCTCTTTGCTTGCATATGTTGACTTCAATTCAGCCTGACCCTGGGTTCTGACACCTTGGATACTTTTGTATATAACTTCTATGTCGTAAGCAATGACTACCGTTTTCCTTTTGAACTGTTTGTGTGTCTTTGGTTAGGGAGTTAGGGTGAGAGGTTGCCTTTTGTTTCCTTTTGTTTGTACAGGGTTTGTTTGTGATCATTCCATTAGGTTGTTTTGTTTGTTTTTCCATTTTGTCTTGGCCTGGGACACTCCCCAAGCATTATACATACACTGTTGGTGCTGTCGGTCCTTGTAAATACACGGCCGTTTGTTATCCCTTGTGTGTACTGTCCTTTTCCTTTAACCCACACACTCATTCTGTTACTCCCCAAACCCCTAGACAGGGGTTCGTAACATAAGACAGCATATAGGCCTAGGTTTTAATGACCATAACCCCTAATTTCTACCATGGAACATTAATCAAAACAGGCTAGAAAGTGTAACCACTGTGAAATGGTTTTCATTGCCATTTTGGAACTTCACCAAATCCTGATTGGTACAGAAGAAAAATTCTTATAAATGCTCTGAATTTTAATGTGGTTAATACCATTAATATGATTTTGTTGGATATCATCAAGGCAACAAGGCTGTTTGCCGCAAGGCATGGGCTGAGAGTCATAGGAAATGTTCTGCCGGTTGAGCTGAATTTTTTTTTGTAAAATTTGTATTGTGTAGATAAATTATTATTATGAGTTTGTGAACATGTGACTATGAGTTTGTATGTATTAAGGTTTTTCTGTTTTTTTTTATTATTATTATTATTATTATTATTATTTTGTAGCCCATGTGTGCTTTTCTCAGCTTATAGAGCGCTACTGACAGGGAGCAGGCACAAAGAAAAGAAAAGCCGTATATTAAATCCAGTTTTTTTTTGTTATTGATAAAACAGAAATAAACTTCAACAATCAGCCATAGTGGTCCCTCATTTTCACTCATGAGTCGCCAGCAAAGAGAAGAAGGAAAAAATGCAGAATAAAGGGGTTTGGGTGTCAAAGTGCATAAAGTGACAGTCCACAGCAGACACAGGCACTCTGGCTGGCGCTTGCATCCGTTACCCCATGAAGTCATTGCAAAATGTGCAATTCGTTTTTTTCTATCCATTCACAGCCACAAATTATATGAAGTCAAAAAAAAAACTTTTGTTGCCCAGTCCCCTCACCAAAGCACCACTAGAGGTAACTTTTATTGCAGTTTATTTTAAAACTGCTCTGAACACGGTTTAGCTGCGTTTTAAGGAGAAATGCACATAGATCTCCAAATCAGAAATTATCGGTAACCTGTTTAATTCCTTGATGTTCAAAATCATTTTGCATTTTGTAGGCAACTCGTGAATTCTTGAACAAAAGGCATTTGTAATTGAAGCAGCATCGGTTCTTTCCCTGCCCCTTCGGTATGCCTGTTCTCTGTTTGGCCAGCAGGTGTCGCTGACCATCTCATGTCCTTTACTCCTAGTGTTTCGCTGGTCCCCTGCCACTGCGATGCTTCACAGGCTGAGCCGCTGGCTGTCCATCCAGACTCCTCTTTTGCTGTGGGCTTGAGATATGTATATATGTGCCTCTCCTTGCCGTGTCCCCATTTGGTCATTGTGTGCTTGGTACTGTGTTAGTTCCAGTGTTTTTAGTATTCTGCTCCTTGCTTGGTCCCCACGTCTTATTGTCTGTGTATTCTTAGTGTTAGTTTACTTTGTGATTAGTTATAGTTTAGTTTTCTCTGCCATAACATAGATTTGCGTAAACTAAATTTAACTGCCGATTACATTCGATGTACTTAGGAATAAGGCCAATGTTTCAACATTGGTAGGGACCAAATCAGTCCTGAAGCCCCTGTCTCCCTAAACACACACGGTACCACCGCAATATTGGTAGGGACATGGATTTATGTCCAATGCTGTGTTTTGTAAAAAAGCTTATTTTATCAATAACTTTCTGGCCTACTGAAAGTGGACTGTGAGAAAACTAACATTCTGTTTGGCATGTTATTGTTGGAAAAAAAAATTGTTGGATGTGTTAATTTGTATTAAATTAAGAATATGCTATTAATACAGTATATTTCACTGGAAGTGTAATGAAGAAATATACAAATTAATAAAATATAATGTGCTTCTTTTCATAGACAAATTCCATTTAACTTAACACACATTTACTTGTTAAACCCAAAAATTAACAATTTATCTGAACTAATTTTAAGCAGCAGTTGAATCAGTTAAGGTAATGACAGAGAAAATTCCCCATAATGTCTGCGTAGCTTAATAGAGGCACCTCACCTTAACCCAACTTCAGTCCATGCAATCATTTAATCTTTTTCTTCAGCAGTTACCAAAGTTCATCTTCATCCATCAACAATAAGAAAGTCACTGATTCACTTGTTGACATACTTACGTCACTGCATTTGTTTCTAAATGCGTCAAATTGTTCTCTGTACAAGCCCTGGTAAACATATGCAAAATTTAAAAAACTCACGGTGATGAGCTGTAATATATTTTGAAGCTGGAGTTATCAAATCATATGTGTCAATAATATTTCAAACAACTAAAAATGTACTTATGGTATTTCTGGGTGATCGTTAACTGCAGTTTTATTATTATATTTATATATTATTATTATTATTATTATTATTAGTATTATATACGCATTATGATTTATTATTTATATTGACATGAACTGGATAAATTAATGTGAAAGGTAGACTTTCAGGAACCCTGACTGGATCAAAATAAATAGATGATTGACACGCACAGTACATACACACAGGTCTGAGGCCAGATCTGATCCTGCAGGTGCTGTGAAATGACAAACGTTGAACTTACTTGACCTGTGATCCAATAAACTGAACACTTGAAAAGTGCACCTATAAGACTTTGCCACTAGGTGGCCCAAACTTCCAGTGTTTAACAGCTTTTAAATCTTGTAAAACTACTGCATTTCATATTTAAACCTGTCAGATGACAATCATACACTAAGCTAACACTAATAATAGTCCAAGGTATTCCTCACATTATGTGTTGCAACATTTAAGCAAATATTCAAACTGAAGTGAAAATCCTAATTTTTGCTGATGATACTTGTGTCCTTGTTCTCTTGTAGCGTTTATCCCAAACTCAGCCGAATGTTACACTCCTTCATAATTGTAACTGTACTTCAGTTCAATTCAAAACAATTTCCCTTTCATTTTATTTTCAACAGCCATCTTGAGCACTCATAGTTTTAATTTAACTTATTTCTAATTGCTTTATAGTTTAATTGTACATGTAATTTCTTATATTATGAATTAAGAAATTTGAGTGACCAATCGCAAAAACATACTTCCGAAATATAAAAACAACAGTAAATGGTCATATTTCAGCACATTACTTTAATATATATTTAATAATAAAAAAATGTCAGGTTATTGTGATTTGTAAGCTTAATATTGTACTCATTTTAGTTAATATAATCAAAATAAATAAAAATAAAACTGCAAATCTGAAAAAAAATATAGGGATAAATGTCACAACTGGTGCATCCAAGATTTTGGAAATGTCATGTTCATCAGCATTAGAAACGGTCTATAATTATCTTATGAAACACGCAAAGTGCACTTATTTGTGACAGTTGACTTCACAGCAGTAAGGAATGGAACAGCAAATCGCGACCAATTCCTATCCATTACTCAAATGGCATTTCAAACTAAAAACAATACAGCTCATACAAGCGGGCAGCCAAAAACAGCAAATAAATAACAAACCTGACACATGAAACATTAAAGACTCCTACTCAAAATGAACTGCAAGTGAACACAAATGTAATGTGAACAGACTTGCTAAGATTATGTCATTTCATGTATATTTATGATTTTCAAATATGTCTTTTCAAAGAAGAAAAGGGTCTGTTTTTTTCCAATAAAGAGATAAATATACTGTAGCTTCTCCTGCCCAGCCATTTATATACGTAATCTATTCTTTACTTAAAAAATATTATGTCTGAAAAATGTAGACTCTTTTTGGCCTCTTACACATAATATCCATTAATATTCACATCAGTCACTTCTGAAAGCTGAAACTTTCAAGTGGGACTTGCCTGCAGTTAATTACTGCAAAATTATTAAGGAAAAAACATGTCAAGGACACGGCTCAGAGCAACTTTCCAACTAAAATAAGTTCATCATTGCTTGATTTTTTTGTACATTCATCATGAAAATACACAAAGGTGTAAAGAACATTTGCAATACAAAAAAGTTTGTAGAAAACATAGAAAAATACTGTCCTTAAGGATTTATGTCTTAAGGCAGTCATACCTATGGAACGTTCCAAAAAGCCACTTTCATCCAATGCGATTGCTGCGGACATTGTGTGTTTGAGTAAGCAGCACGCTGCAGTCATGCCAAAGCAGGGCGTCGGATGGGCACGGATGGGCACGGATATCCTGGCAGATTGGGGCCCAGCATTTTACAGGGGCCCTGGAATATGTAAAACTGTAAGTAAATTTGGCCGGGGGCCCAAGGTGACGTTCTGACAGGAAGTCCAGGACATCTGGCAATGACACTGTACCAAAAGTCTCAGGAACAGCTCAAATGACTTTACCAGGGATAATCAGTCAGTACATCCACCGTTTTTCTGGAAGATACGTATAGGATGTTGACATTTCTTTTGATGGATGCTTGTCAAAATTTAACAAAAAAGAATATTAGGATCTTCCTGTGGTGTTTAACATAAAAAGCATATATCTGAAAGAGCCAAAAAGACGAGAACAAAGAAAAATGATCCCAGTGAGATATCCCTCAGTTCATAATGGCATTTTGGTAAAAAAAAAAATGACGCGGTTTGTTGTGCTAATTGCTTCTTGGCAAACTGCATATGTAACACCCTCCACTGTGAAGGGAATATAAATTGTATGCAATTATCAATAAATAGGACAAACTAGCAAAAAATAATGAATGGAAGAGAGATGATTGGGATCCCTGATAATTTGTGCCTTGAAAGTCAACGTAAAATAACGGCTTTAACTCCGAGGCTTCATATCAGCATAGGAAGTTATTATCTTCGGCCATCTGTCTAGTCAGCCATCAGGCATCTTCTAAAATGTAATAAAGCTGCAGTCTCATAATTGAAAGATCCATGGCGAGAACAAAGGCTGTGTTTCAAATGGAATTAAAAAATGAGAATCTCTGCCTGCTCCCCTGTTTCACCTGCCCTCTTCTCCCGCTCCTTGGCTTCTGTGCCCCCTGATCCTGTCACGCCTTCTTGCCGGCAGCTCTGTGCTTCTGCTTGCGCAGGTGAGCCTCGATCTCGTGGCGGAAGAAGAGCATTCCCAGCTGGCTGTGGGAGGCCTCGTTCATGGCCTTCGACTGCATGCACATCTTGTACTGCTCTGGCGGCAGCTCGTCTTCGCAGCGCTTCTCGTGCCACAGGTGGAAGAGGCTGCGTGAGGGGGCGCGCACCACCAGCAGGTTGCTGTGCAGGTACTTCCTGTACAGGTGCACGTCCTCGCCACCCCAGCCCTTGATATCCACGTCAAAACCACCTGTCAGGAGTAAAGACACAGGCGACACTGACAGGCCTGCTGAGATAAAAGAGAGGCATGCCTCACATGTCTTTTGGGATGCTGAACGGATCCATGTGACACAGTGACAGAAAGGCATTATGGGGATTTTATTGGCATTAATAAAAGAGAAGACAGAAAACAAAAAGCAGAAAAAATGACACGTGGCTGATAATAATTATAATACATGAATGAAGAGGTTATCACCTGACCTCGTCTCGACACTCAAGTTTCATGAATATAATCTAAAAAGTTTCTCATATTTAAAAATATAGCGAAATGTTTCCGTACATTTAATGAGACATAATCTTCTCCAAATATTTATTTAATGAGACAATAATTGCAGATGTTTACAATTCTTCTTTACTGAGTTTCAATTAAGAGTGAGAAAGCAGTATGGTGTTTTGCGTAGAATTAATTTGTGTGTGAATTGCTAATTCATAATGCTAAAAAAAAGCTCAGGGCAAAACAAATATATTCAGAAAAAAGGAAAGTGAACTTTACAAGCAGTTCCTGGATTATGAATGTCTGACTTATGAACAACTTGTACTTATGAACAGACAGCCATAAAGCCTATTATATTAAAAATTCAAATGAAATACAATGGTTTATAATAATGGAGACATGCACTACTTTATGAATATATTGTGTGACTAAAGGGGTTTGTCAGCTCGAGTTACTTTTATTATTAATGTATACAGCCTCTCCCCAGGTTACGATGGGGTTATGTTCTGACTAACCTATCCTAACATCAAAATATCTTAAGGCATGTTAATACAGCACACCTAACCTAAGAAACAACATAGCCTAGCCTAGCTTACCTTAAACATGCTTGAAACACTTACATTAGCCTATAGTATGGCAATATAATTAACACAAAGCCTAATTTATGAAAAGTGTTGAATATCTCATGTAATTTATTGAATAAGGTACTAAAAGTGAAAAACATTTACCCATCGTAACCCGGGGAACGTCAGTAATTATATGTATTTTTATTGTTCCGAACTACAAATTCAACTCAAAGACAGACTTAGGGAACGGGTATATAGGGATTGCCTGTAATTGTATTTGTATGTTTATGTATCTTTACCATTTTATTTGTTATTTCATTTATTCTTATCTGCAGGGCAGAGACCAAGTGTTCACATGCTTCACCTGCAATCATTTATAGCTGAATTATTGGGAATCATAATGAACAGAGGAAGACCATGGAACTCTTCCCAAATGAAATTAGTGAGTATTAGTCCACGAGCAGCCACGTTATGTCTTTGGCTCTGTGCCTGGAACCATAGTCATGTGGATGCACCTTCGAATGTCATAATGAGGTGAAGACAGGATGGGGGAAGGATTTCAAGAGCAGATGATGCAAATCAATATACTGACCTATATTGATGAAATCTGACCTGTACTGGCAAGTCATCCCGAACCCGAAATCTCTCCAGAATCCGGTGTCCTTTTTTATTACCTGATAAAATAAAGATAAAAACCCTGTGACTGCGATTAAGATAAATGGCTTGAAGATGGTTGGATGGATAAATAAAGATGAAAATATACCGAGAGTCACAATGCAGAAATTGAAAAATGTGCTGTCAAGAAATACAGATAATTTTTTCATAAAGGGCTGAGATTAATTTACATACGAAGGGGAGCCCTATGGATAAACGCCTTTTATTGACAGACCGCTACACCAATATATAAACATCATCTTAAATCAACAATGTTAAGATATACATTACCAGCTGTTGTTCTATAGGTGGAACATTATCATGATGCCCATAAATGAGTCCTGGATTGTACTGGCTGAATAGAATTGGATAGAAAACCTTTTTCCCTGAGAACAGGGGAGAGAAGATCAAACATCAAACATTTTAACATCAAATCCTAACTGAGTAGATGCCACAGGCTTGACAGACAGTATTTTGCAATATTACTCTGGATCAAATGACTATTTGAGATTAACAGGCTAAACAGCCTACATCTATTTAATATGATTTTTTTACATCAGGACGACTGAGAGACATTAGTGACTATAACCCTCACCGGGCTGTGCATTCAGCCTACAGGAATTGAGGAAGTCTGATGTGAAATAAATGTCCACATCACAGAAGAACAGGAGGATGTTATTCCCCTTCCATGCCCGAGCACCAACATCCAGGCCGCGTCCTCGAGAAAACTCCTCATTCAGCTGGATCAGCGTGAAGTTCCTGAAATTGATCTCCCTGTTTAGAACAGAAAGCATTTCATCTATGTGTCCTTTCAAATTACATGATTAAAATGTTAAATTACATTTCTGATGTTTCAATTGGTTAATATTTCAGTCTATAATGATCCTATTATAATTAGAATCTTATTTTTATACACTTTGATAAACATGACAAAGATCTCAAAATTAAAAACTTTAAGTAACATTTACATTTAGAACAGTTACAAAGTTAATAACTGGCTGTATGGATACTACCATGTGAAAGTATAAAGTAGCACCTAAGGATAGCAAAGATGAAAATGCATTCATACACTCAGCATATTCACTGGCAAAATGGTGCTGTGTGCTATTAATATTTTGTTATATTATTTTTGTAATTTTTATTTTAGTAATCTTCCTATTATCTGGTCTCCTGAGCTGAAACGCTTCATAATGATTAGGTGTGTTGCAGAATCGGCAATCTCTGTTAGTCATCGTGTATTGTCTGCATTGCAGCACTGGAGGAATATCAAAGCACTGAGTTATATGTGTGGACAGAGCAACTGAGCGGCTTCCATTTATACAGGAGAGACATTAACGGAGCAACACTGACAGGTAACTTTAATTTCTCCTCCAAAATGAGTTAAACTAATGAGTGCAAATTATTGAAATAGACACATGATGCGGAGAGAAAGGACGTCTGAACACTGGAATCTGGAGATATTTCAGCCATTCAATAATATCATTCTCCAACTACCCTAAACCAGGAGCATAGAGAGAATATTCTGCATTTTAGCTACATTTACAAATTGTGAAATTATTCTGATGAGCAGTTAGCCATCAACATGTCAAAAACTCACTCATATTCATGGTATATAGAACAAATAAATTCATCACCTTGCCTTACTACTTGAGTAAGCCGCAAAATATAGTGAGTGTAACTTTAATGTGGAGTCATTTCTCAGGGGTGGCGTTAGTGTCCTTTGGACCAATGAACAGCACTTAAAGTACACACAATAAATCAAGTTATACATCCTTCACGTTCCAACGTGGAAAATTCACTTAAGAAAAGGAATCGATTAAAAAATTGAATCTTTTGCCCCTCAATTAAATAGCACTCAGCTTCTATTACAGAGGAATAGAAAAAAACATGTATTAAGTGATCTTGCATTTTTTTCTGAAATTCAGACCTTGGATGTCTATGACTCAGTCTACGTATATTGGGAAAAAAAAGTGTTCATCAACAAGTAGGTGTTGAAAGGTGAGAGAATGATTTAGACAACTGTCTTACATAAGAGGGGAAGAAACTTTATAATAGACATATAATTAGAGGGGATGGAGTTAGATGAACTGACAGATACATCTGAGATCATTCATGAGATGTGCAGCAAAATTTAATGAAGTGATGTTGAGTCTGTTTTCACGTGGCAGGATGTCTGATAAGAAAATGCCCACACTCCATATTGAATGTTGTTTTTTATAGTATGTTTCCTGCTAAAACACTGCACAGAAATTGGGCTTCCCAGATCATGTTCTCTTACTGGTATGTTATATTCGAGCATGCAGTACGGTTGTTTCTTTGAGCCGGTAACGTTAAGCCTTAGAGAGCTATACGTGTTATAGGACACATGGTGCGGCCTAGTTTACCATCTGGCACTCTGCAGTTATGGTCCATGCCACGGCGCTGCTTAGGCGTAGCGTAGCACCCAGATCAAAGCGAGAGGCCATGCTGGGAAGGGGCCCTTATGACAGCTATTTGCAAAGGAATGAGTTAATGAGCTACACCAGACTTGTGTTTAAAGTTCCTTAAAGTTCCCGCACAGTCAGGTGAAATAGCTACCGACACTGGCCTGTGTTATTTGGGTACGCATGTCGTGTGCACAGACAGTTTGCTTTTCTTATTCATTTATCTGTTTTTAAAATTATTAATTTATTCATTAATTTGTAGAGATGAGAGTCAACACTTGAAGCTGGAATCCATATTTTAGGCACTTTCAAGCAAAATTTCCTTGCTTTAAACATTTTAAGGTGGCTAACAAAACTTATTTTAAAAATCTCTTCAAACTAAGTTTTAATATGTGGCTGATTACACTTTAAAGTGATGATAGACAGCTCTTATGCATAATACTGAACATGCTCCTTTAATATAAAATATACTCAATCACACACTTTAAAAAATAAATAAATCTACAGTTACAGTGTCACTGTTCCTGGGGACTGTCAAATGATCACAGGCAAGACAGGGAAACTGAACCTGTATTAAGGTTTTTACAAGGTGATAACAGCAAGCCTACTTCAGATTATGCGGCAGGTTATCAGAAGCTTTCCCCGTATCTTAGACAACTAGACATCGAACATAAAAGCATTCAGAGCGAAAATATAAGTGCAACCTGGATGCAAAGCAGTGATCTGGAAAAGGCCCATTTAAAGGCATGATGTGAAAATGGCAGTGTCTGGAGATCAAGCACAGCGTTCACGGGCCTTCGGACCTGCCTGCACAGCGTTCACGGGCCGTTGGACCTGCCTGCACAGCGTTCACGGGCCTTCGGACCTGCCTGCACAGCGTTCACGGGCCTTCGGACCTGCCTACTTCAGCACTTCATTGTTACATTATACGCACTGTAATTACTGTGTCGTGACCTGCTGTAAGGAACCTGGACATCATGCTCTACTGCAGCCGTCCTGGAACAAAGTGGCAGGACAGACACCTGGTCTGACCTCTTTCCCACACATTTTTATGCTAAAAGCAAGATGGGATCGGCCATGAGATCAAAGACCAACCCTTTGATGTTGCTGGTCACTTTTTTCCCTGCTCAGTTGTTATTCAGAACTCTTGTCAAACACCGACATCATATTCTAGGTGGCACTGGAGAGCAAAGTCAGAGCTGCAGATCAGTGTTAGCTCAGTTCTATGGACTTGAATTCAAAGACGGAACCTAGGATCCAGCCATAAATACATTAGCATGAAATGTGCCACCACCTAAGTTGTAGTTTATTGAATTGAAGAGAGAGTTTTCCTATTAGTTCAAAACTGTGATTCAAATTATATTTTATGTAAGTCTTGTCATGATGCAAACCTAAAAGTCTGTTTTTTAATATAAATTTTATTTAAATTCTTTTTAACAGTATTTCATGGTTGGAAGCTCCTAAAGCTTTATTTTTAAGTATACACATTATTATTATTCTTGTGACATTTTCCAGTACCAAGGAGTAGGAATATATGGCAGTTGTTTGAAAATACCAAAGCTGTTAAACAAAGACAGTCTGAACATTAAAGTAATTGAAGGCAACAGATATTTGCCAACAGGTTTATTTGCCTGATTTTCATTGCGCTAAACACCACTTTTCTGATGACAAATACACCAATATTTCTTATTTTCCATATAAGCCCACAGGGTAATTGTGTTTAACTTTTCACTAACAAATTACACTATTTTGTGTCTTTTCTTCAAAACAGAGATGATGATCTTTGAAAATGTAAACCACCACACAGTAGTTCACGGCATATCTGCATTTCAAGAAAATGTACTGCTTTGGCATAAACATGAGTGAACAACGTATTGAATATAAGGCCAAAGCAGCTTTTTAAAGCTTAATCTTACAAGAATTTTGAACATAACAGTTAATGGTTCAGTTAGGCTCTGAATGTTCTGTCCCAATTTTCCATAAGTCCATAATTTTCCATTTATTGCATGGTTTTGAATAATGTAGTCTATAGATGGACTTCAATACAGAAGCGGCTGAATCTTTATTATTGTACATTTTTATTATTATTTTATTCTTCACTTATTTTTTCACAATGTATGCTTGTTAGTAATTATAACTGACGAATATGGAAAGATTACATGTCGGTCTGGTGTGATCTGATGAAAATATGTACGATCTGCCTTTAAAATTGATAACTGTGGGCTTGAGGTTTTTAACAGAGATTGGATGGAATCAGTCACACCCTTGCAAAACTCGGCACACACATTCACACAAGCACTTTAATAGCTCTGCAAGCTAGAATATGTTATACAAAAACAGAAAACAGTATAATTGCCCATAAGTAACTGAGGGATTTGGAGGAATTTGGGCTTGCCAGTGTGTAGGAGTTGGAAAGGTTAATTAACTGAGGTGTAGTCAGTGTGCAGCCTGCACTATAGCAGCAGGTGCAGCCAGACAAAAGCAAATGACTGCTGCACGCTTCGCTATCTCCACTCCCTGCAGCATGACCCCTGAACACGATCGCTTTGCACCGCCAGTTGGACGGCGATTAAACTCATCCGCCTTTCATGCTCACTGCAGAAGCAGGTCTCGAAATGTGAGACTCCATCATGAAGAAGAGAGGGCTGGAGCCAGAACAGAGAAACACCCTCCTCCCATGGGAGCCTTCAGGATCCATTATCAGCGAATCCATCCATCCTCATAGTACGTGCGGACAAACAGTCACTCAGCACAGGCAATGGAAACAACCTAAACTGGGCCGTGATTTTAACAAATGTTGAAAATATTTGGAAACTTTTTAGAACAAAATATATGCATGGCAAATACTCATTAACAGAATTAAGTGTATGTATACAGTACAGCATATCACTGACACTTCCCAAACAGTATAAATAAGAGTCATCCTGTTATGATGGAAGTATTTCCTCTACCGATATAATCTCAGCTCATGACCTGTTAGGGAAGTGACAAGGCTTAAGTACACAGAGGGACTGGGAAGGGGAAGGAAAGAGCGTATTCCTGAGCTCGTAGGAAAAGGGAACCATGCCGTGAATGTAGCCACAGGGAATAAGTCAAACACAACGTAAAAAAGAGGCTGAAAAGCAATTTCTGTAAAGCAGTAAATAATATTTCCAATTCAATTCAGTCCATTGCCTCAATTAAGGAACTGAGGACTTTAGCAATTTATATACAAAAGAGTAGCATGTTAATAAACTACACATTTTTTCCAAAATTGGTCCTAGCAACAGAAATGGAGATGAATGGGTCCCTTGGAGTGTGTACACATTCCTATAATGACAGACCCGTGTGTGACGGCGGTCCTGACACAAGGCCGAAACTCAGCATGCTGATGCTTTTTATGCAACTGCTAGAATGTTTTTTTTTTCATTTATTATTAAAGGAAAAGCTGTGTTTTGGTAAACAGAGAACTTTGACAGCCATAACTGCAAGGCAAAAAACACACGGTTCATTTTCATAGGAATTTATGTTGGTGTAAAACTACATTTTTTATGTCAGTCAAAACTGTGCCCACACATTATTTTAGTGTGGATGCACAAATGTGCCTTTGCCCAGTAAGAGTCTCCACAATTTGATGTCCTTCAGCTGTCGGTATAATTTACCCAGGCATCAGCTTTACACGTATACAGCATAAGTCAGGAAAGAGACCCTCCACATGCATGTAAGTCACTGTAAATTAGTATAAGGCAGCCTTGCTGCACATTAGTGAGAAGAGGGCGCTTGTTAGCAAAGTTTAAGTCAGCTTTTTTAAGTCAGATCACCTGGGTTGCTGCTTACCTCATCCCGAGGGCTGTAATAAAATCACTTCCAGTCCTTGTGTCTGCTAAGAGGTTTATACAATTCATCAACACCAAGTGAACTTTATTCAGTGTTTGTAAAGAATGCAGACTTAATCCTTGACCTGAAAGCACCAGTAATAATGTACGCTTAAACTGCTTCAATAATGCTGTTTTCCATTATATGTAACTACAGGTACTGAGATTCTGTGCATGACCATTAGAAACAAATGCTGTGGTATTTCTAGACTGAGACTGTATACTGCGATATTTCTGGTAAGTGACTGAATAGTATGAAAGGTTAAATGCAGTAAAATGGAAAAACAAGTTGAAAGAATCTCCCTATAAATTCAGAAAACCCAGCCCACGGTATGACTGTGTCAGACTATTGCTCACTGTTTATGCAGTGCCGTCAACAACAGTGAGGGCTGCAGTTTATCCTGAATTAGGTTTTAGGGTAATTACATTTTAAATAATTGTAATACAGTGCATGGTTTTGCATAAATTCTGATTAAGGTGCTTTGAATGGCCACTTAAATGAATCCCTAAAAGCAAGTGCCGGGGCGTTCTGCAGTGGTAGAACACAGCAACTGGCATCATTCCAGTATAAGGGAGGGCGTTTGTATGGGGGGGGGGGTTTAAGTTGCATGGGCGTCTCAGCAGGCTGCTGCACAAGCATCTGCTTCAGTCTCAATAAAAACAGCCTGGACACTGGCACATAGTTACAGCATTTAGTTACGTCGATTAGCACTGCAATGAAAACAGCACACAAAAAAATGTAAGCTGAAATACTCAGAAGAAAACAACAGCAGCATTCTTTTAATATTGCTCTGAATGGAAAACTCCATTAGCTTAATCAGCTCTTAAATACAAATAAATGGAATATTTGAACCCATGAATCCTGTTGCTGCAATCCTTCTGGCTGCCCCTAGCAGCAAGCATTGTATGCTTGTTTTATGGACCCATAATACTTAGCCTATAGTGCTTCAGACCAGCTCATCTGAACAAGATACTCATACACGGAGTAAGAGTGAGTAGTGAGTACTACACTGAGTAATATGCTGAATATTCTTGGAAAACGATCAGAACAGCAGAGATAAATCTATCAACAGTGATTCTTACTGATTCCAGTGGGAGTTATCTCAAGGTGTAGACTCTAGTCTTAAATTCACCAGATAGGCACAGAAAGCAGAAATCATTCTAACAAGAGTGACCTGCAAAGGACAATTAGCTACACAACAGCAGTCTGTCAGAAAGCCTGTGCCCTCTTGTCCTCCTCAATGAGTCTGGCCCAGATTAAAAAGCAGTTTAATTTTCAGCACTGATGCAAGTCAATGGACCCTGCCCACTGCAAAGGCTTGCATTGTTTGAGGGAACTGGTATTTTCAAATGTCAGAATGATACATCACACTTTTTCTCTGTTTAAGTTTATGCCCGGAATAGTAATATATGCCTGGTATTGGAATGAACTTTCACTCTGAAGCAGAACCAAACTTTGAGGTTAGAAGCCAGAAGATCACACATGCCATGAACCCCCCCCCCCAGCTTCTCCACCTGGAAGCACCAGCACTGTCGGATTCTTTTGAGATGGATCTCTTACTTGGATGTGTTTTCCAGGATTCCCTTCACCTCGCTGACTTGATCCTTGCCGAAGTACACCACGGTGAGGTGGACCCTTCCATCCCGACGAATGCACACCTCCCTGAAACACAGCGGGAAATGATCAGGCTTCATCTCTATAGATGTTCTGAAATGGAATAATAAATGTCTTGAATGTTTTATCGCTATGTAAATTTTTCAAACTAATTCTGATTACATCCAGTGAAAAGTACAACTACTAATCTCATTATTTGTCTGATCAAATAATGTAATTATTTAAAGCAATTTTTCGGCATTCAGAATTACATGGTATTAAAATCATGGTAATAATATCAGTGAGATCCTGTCCAGGATAAGCAGGTGGAAGCAGAATGAATGGATATTAATAAAAGGAATAATGGTATTTTACCGTGCAAAATGTTGTTCATAAAACTCAGTATATGTCTTGTCATAGGTATTATCTGTCCTTAGATGTCCTGTTGTACCATCTGCATACTGAAAATTCAAACCAAGCACAAGATCTCCACTAATCTAACTCATTAAATATGAACTATAGGCATTCTTAATATGAATCTATCAAATGTATGAAACAAAAGCTAAACAAAGTTCACATATGAAAAATATAATACATTGTTTAAAACTTACTCCCCAATATTTTGTCACTCATGATACACAAGATCATAATAATGTTATATATAATTATATATCCTTTTATACAATATGAGACAATACTTAATTACATCTCATACAAATGAAACCTATTTTATACCAGTTTGTTTTATATAATACAAATAATCTGTCAAGTTAAAAATGAGATGGATCAAAAATCCAACCAAAAAAGTTTTGTATTAAATGAATTATTGCTAAACAAATTGCTTGTGTGTTTTTGCTTCAATCATATCATTGTTTACTGCAAGACTGAGCACAAGCTTCTGTTACCATAGTAACAATCATCGATTTCAGATGCTGGATCTCTGCCCTCATTGGTGGTTCTAAATTTTAGATATTAATCATGGAAAGCAAGGCCTTTTCTTTCCTAAGTACAATGAAATTACTTTTGCCTGAGGCTACACAGACAAAAAAAAACAATTCTACTTTTTAAATTACGCTGTCAGCCTAATTTTAATTCACCATATGTCAGGAAAAGTTAGGGAAAATATTAGTCTGTATCTACAAGAGTGCATACAAAAAGTAGAAAGTGAGATTGCGTGACCCTTTGATTTTAAGCATAAAAGATGCATACTAACCACAGCGCTAAAGCAATATGGAGAAAAAGAATCTCCCACATTGAATGGATGGCCAGCTAGAAGAAAGTTATCACCAGAGAAAGTGGAGATGGCCACAGTTATTGATTAGCTGTCAGAGAAGGAAGGAAATGAGAAGGCTTGGTATGGCAAGGTACTGTCCTGCCTCAGACAGCACAATTACTCCTCAGTGTCATGCTGCAGATAATGCAGAGCTCCTCTCTCTTTGTCCCCATGCTTTGCATCCGTTATTTCACCCATTTTGCCGTCATGATGAAGCGATAAATGACAGTGGAATGTAAGCACATTAGCTCGTGGCTTACTGTGTGAAACAAAGGAAAAGCAATGTATACTCTTTTTAGTACAATCATTTTATAATAATGTTGTTAATCAATCTTCTTAAGGGCCAGTGAACCCCAAAACTGAAAAAGGTATGTTTTAGAGGGGCTTTATTGCTATCTATCCAGGTACATTGTTCTACTGGGAGTTGCCTAGTTTTGGAGATATCGGTCATAGAAATGTTGGGTTTTTCTCCAATATAATGGGACTGAATGACATTTTTTCTGCGGTGAATAAAGTGACGAAAACATACATTATAAAAGTTCAACAGCAATGTCTCTTAACAGAAATCATGTCCCGATTACTTATGATAATCCACAGACTTTGTAGCCAGCAGTTTAATGTAGGAACTATTTTCTTCTACCGATATCCATGCACCAATCATATCACTGCACAGAAGATACAAGCATAAGCACCCCAGTGATATCTTTAGGTACCCCGCCCCCCCATGAATCAGTACCTTATCACAGTGGAGAGGTTTATGTGCCTCCTTAATCCTAGAAGCTATGTCGTTGGGGGAAATTGTCCTTGGTTGGGTCTCCTTACCCATGGTATAATAGACTGGGGCCCCACCCTGGAGCAAGGCCTTGGGGGAGACTTCCCAGGCGATCACCTCGTGGTTGGGTCTCTACCAAGGGGGTCCGGCTAGCCAATGCCCGACAGAGTTACATGGGGGGGTGTGGGGGTCAGATCCACTGTTTTTCAATTGGGCTGTAGTTGAAGACAGGGGCCTTAGCAGAACATAGAACTGCCTTTAGGAACAAAGACTGTAAACATTCTGGTGGGAAAGGTGTCAGAATCGGTGTCCGTCTGACCCTGTCCTATGTCTTGCCCCCTTTTGGCCAGTAGGTGTCGTGGGTCATCCTGTTTCCCCCCTCTTTGTCATGTAACCCTTCAGCCCCTAATGCGTTTCCCTGCTCCCCAGGCCACTAAGTAGCTCAATGGGTTGAGCAGGCATCCTCGGAGGCTGAACCCCTCTGGTCATGAGTTTTACCTGTCAATTAATATTTATTAATATTAGATATTAGTTTTCCTTTGCTCCTGTTTTTGTCTTTGTTTTGTGTCCTTAGTTAGCTGATTGGTTGTTTTTGGTTATGTTCCACACTTGCCCTTTGTTAGCCATAGATTTAAGTGGATGCCCTCACTCTGTTCTTTTGTCTGTTATTGTAGTTGTTACCATGTGTTAGTAGCTGTGGTTGTTTCCTAGTCCTGCTGTCTATTTTGCTCTGTTCCCTAACTCTGTCTCTTTGTGGCTAATTTTAGTTTAGTTCTTATCTGTCCTGTTTTGTTTTGACCTCTCGTGGTCCTTTTCTTTTCTGGTTCCCCCTTTGTGTTCTTTTTGTTAATAAATCCCTTTTTGTTGGAGCCGCTCCATGGATCGCCCCTCTTTTCTCTCATTTGCCATGCCCCGTTGTAACAAACAGAGTTAATCCTGGTCATGGGACAGGCTGTGCCTGTCCATGCCTATGCCCTGAACATCAGTTCAGAGTATCCAGCCTTTTTGGAGACGTTGGTTGTAGAGGTGGGCGATAAATCGACTTTATCGATTAATTAGAATTTACAGTTCAGGACGATGTATTTTTATGAAAATCGATTTTATTACTTATTTTACAGGCGAGCGCCAAAAGCGGAATTAATGCGACACATCGTTCTTCACGGGTAAATTAGCGCGGCGCACCCAAACACTATAGCGGATTCACAAACAACATGGCATGATGGCAATGGTTCGGTTTTGCGCCGTCGGACACAGACCAAACAAGTCCTCGTTGCAAAGTATGTTTAAAAACTGTTGCAACCAAAGGAAGCTGCACGACAAATTTATTCCAGCACCTAAAGCAGAGGCACGCAGCGGAGTGGGAGAAGTGCAGCTCACAGCGAAATGAAAATAGCCGCAGCACCAGCACAACATCCAAAGTTAAGCAAGCAACCGTCCCTGACACATTTTCGAACTGTGTGCCATATGATTAGAATGGGGCACGGTGGAAAGCGATAACAAACGCTGTCGAGATATAGGCTATATTGCAAAAGACATGGTGCCCATACATACTGTGGAAAAGCCGGGATTCATTAACATGCTAAAAGATTTTATAAGTTTCTAAAAGTGTTTACAATGGCGTGGTCTGCCATTTCACTTACAAGCATTTTTTTTGGCTTGTCAGATTTTACTTTAGAGTTAAAGTGCATAAAATAAAGTTCAAACTTGTTTTGAATAATTTATTTGTCATCTGTAGTTTGATTTTGAGTAGGGGAGGGGGAAATCGATTAAAATCGAAAATCGGATTTACTGTGAAAAAATCGGAGATTTTATTTTTAGGCCATATCGCCCAGCTCTACTTGGTTGAAATGCTGGTAGGTGCCCCCTCTGGGTACTCCATTGTTCCACTGGGGGAATTTTAACGCTCACATGGGTATTGACAGTGAAATCTGGAAGGGTGTGATTGGGAGGAACGGCTTGCCTGATCTGAACCTGAGCAGCTTTTTGTTATTGGATTTCTGTTTGCAAACACCATGGTCAAGCACAAGCGTGTTCATAAGTGCACCTGGCACCAGAATACCCTGGGCCATAGATCTATGATTGATTCTTTAGTCATATCATCAGACCTGCGACCATGTCTTGAACACTCGGGTAAACACCATCTGGTGGCGAGTTGGATCAGATGGTGGGGAAAAATACCAGACAAACATGGTAGACCCAAATGTATAGTAAGGTTGTGCTAGGAGCGTCTGGCAGAACTTCTCTTATATTCTGAGGGAGGCTGGAGACACTGAGTCAGAGTGGGCTATGTTGCTGAGGTGGCTATGTTGAGTTGTGGTTAAAAGGTTGTCGGTATCTAGGGAGCCATCATGTTGAAGCAGCCTTTTGAGCTTAGCTTGTTGGACTCTGGAGGCAGCTGACAGATTCCAGGAGGACAAGTGGAGTGAGGCTTTAGCAATTGTAGAAGCAAAAATGATGGTAAATGATTTTCAATTGGCCTCAAAGAAATTCTGGCAAACTGTCAGGTGAATTAAGAAGGTGCTGCAGGGCTTTGCCTATGCTGTTTCCAGCAGGGGTGGAGTGTTGTTGATCTCAACTGGGGATATAGTTGGATGGTAGGAGGAGCACTTCAAGGACTTCCTGAATCCTGCTGATGCACCTTCCTGGGAGGGAGTAGAGTCAGAGAACTTGGTGGAAGACTCACCCATCACTAGGGCTGAGGTCACCTAGGTAGTAAAAAAGCTCTTCGGTGGTAAAGTTCTGGGGGTGCATGAGATTTGGCCTGAGTTCCTTAAGGCTCACGGTGCTGTTGGCTTGTCTTGGCTAAGACGCCTCTTCAACATTGTATGGAGGTCGGCGACAATGCCTGTGGGCTGGCAGACTGGGATAGTGGTCCCCGTCTTTAAACAACATGGGTCTGGAGAGTATGTTCCAACTTTAGTGGACCACACTCCTCAGCATCCCTGGGAAGATCTATGCCAAGGTCCTAGAAAAGAGGATCTGTCTGATGGTCAAATGACGGATCCAGCAGCAACAATGTGGATT